TAGTTAAGGGGGTTATCTAAAAAATGACCAAACTTGGGGGAGGTTTTGTGAAATTTACCTACAGAATAAACAACTTCAGGCATATCTATATGCAATAGCAAATATTATTTCTAGTTATTAGTGTTAATGACAGAACAAATTAGTACAAGCACTTCTAAGTAAATGGACGACATTATTGAGGATGGAGAGAGGGCAAAGGGCACAAAGCAAGAAAAGCACAAGGAAATGTTGTGGGCATAGTTACATGAAACCCAGTTCGTTTTGGTTCACGGGACGGGAATAGGAGCGTGGTACACCACTTATTAGGAGTTGAGTACAAGGGGGATAGGCTTATATGGTACGCTAGGGAACGTGGACGTTTTAGGTTCGGTTCTTAAACGTAGGAATCAAAGGTTTTGCAAAAGTCAAATTTAATAAATATGCTAGCTGATATCAGATAGGGTAAAAGAACATTGAGCATCATGTTGCAATTACGATATGCATACTTTATTTGCTTAGTTTCTCACATTTTTTGTTGTTTATTCTATTGCAAAAGAGTTATTTTTTCACAAAAATTAACTTGTTTAGTTGTTTTAATCCTAAATTGGGTTGTTGGAGTTGGTGAACCGGGTCGTGTTCCACTACGGATACAAGACGACTGAACCCGGATCGCGGTTCGCTATAGCGTCCCGCATCCCATGTGCCCGACATCTATGGTTTTGGGACACCTTCACGAGCTCCTGGTACATGCATGCATGTGTATAAAACATTAGAATAGTGTGCATGCATCATGAATTTTTATTTCATATAATATATTAAAGAAAAATATACTTTTCGGAGGATTTACATGCAAAAATGCATAGGTAGTTCCAGAGTGGCTGGAGAGAAGACGTGAAAAATCAAATTGATACATTTTTCTGTTTTCATTAATTCAAAGTTTGCAAGCATCAAAGAAAAGGACATTTAATTGAGTTATTGTATGTTTCAGAAAAGGAAAAAAGCCAAAGAAAAAGTCTTGACTTACTATTAATTGGAGACACCAGATTACTTGCATTCTTTTGAAATACAATATGGAGGATAATCTTTTGGGTGCAAAATTAGGCATGTGGGTATTATGATCACCAAAAAATTCTCATACTGCATAAACAAAGGATAAATGAAGAATGACTATGTTCAAAAGCTAATTGGTCTGTCTAATAATAACGCGGAAATTTGTTTAAAACTATGTTTGCTACGAAACAAGGGGGGAAAACCCTTATTGTAAAAAACTTAACAACATGTTCAAGCACATGTACTTACACATGCACAACTAGACTTATTGTAAAAAACTTAACAATATGTTCAAGCACATGTATTTACACATGCACAACTAGACTTAAGACAGATTTTGAATTAGAAATTTCATCCTTTTAAAAACAAAAATGTTAAATATTTGTTAGATGTGCACAGATAAGCTAAGATGGCATTCGAGTTTAATGACCCAGTAAACCAGTTTAATTATCACCCAAATTTTAGGTTTTTAGCCTGTAATAGAAATTGGATGAAAGGCTTTGTAGCTGCACTATGCTACACCAAACGCATAAAATATCAAGCAATATATAGACGATATATACAAGTTCAAATGACTTGATGTTGGTATATATTTCAGTATTCAACCTACACTAGGAAAAGAGAGCCTGTATCGCAAACTCCTAGGAATAGGCTACCTAATGCCACCAGGTTGGTAACCATCATCTCCTGGATTAAATTGACAACTATCATATTCTTT